TGACTTTTTCTGACCGCTGTGAAATAAGGAATCATATTATTGTTTTTTTCCTCCAGACATGTTCCGTCTGGGTTATCCTCGGTACAGGATCGACTCGGTGTGGCTTCAGACGGAGACGTTAGACCAGTGAAGACGCCCATTAAGGGACATGAGGACAAACAGCTGCTTTTTATCCGTGTGACCTTTAAACCTCCCACTCTGGTACAGAATGGGATCACAGAAGACTTCTCCGAGCGCCACACTGACACGCTATTTCCACGGATAAATGTCCTTCTGTAAAAATCACAACAGAGTATAAAAAGCGGTGACCTCCTGATCCCGTCTGCTGACCCGCAACAGGAACGCTCATCAGAGCTCCGGGTTTTCGCTCTCATATCCTGATATCTCATTTGGCCTGCTGACCCGGATTCAAACTCCTCTATTATCTGTCGGAGAATCATTCCGATGGAGCGGAGCAAACAAAAGTCGGATTCGTTCTGACAAAGATAACTGCAGTCGGGACTCGAGTTCTCCGGTGGGTCAGGGACGGAGGCTGAGGTGTAAACACACACAGCGGATCAGCAGGTTCACAAGCGTTGCATTCTGACGACTGAAAATGATGTTTTCCATGTCCTAAAATCCTGATTCAGTCATAAGTTCTAGCATCTGAAGATCTCTTAATGCATTTTCCTTCCTGATTGATACATTTGGTAAATACCAAAACACGACGCTGAACCACGTGGACAGGATTCCTGCTGTAAATGTAGCTCTTGTGTCACTTTATTAGGTACAATCAGACGTGTTGCTGTATTGATTAACACAACGTGATATTTGATGTTGCAGTAAGTAATGATTATTCTGTCGGGAAACATTTTGTTCAGCTACGTGACAATATGATAAAATCTGTTCAGACCGGATGCAAAACAGAAGACCTGCTGGACCTGACTGCAGCCGTTGACACAGTTGACCATCACCTGCTACTGGAGAGGCTGAGAGACTGGGTAGGCCTATCAGGATCTGCTCTGGAGTGGTTCTCCTCTCATCTTTCTGAGCGCTCCTTTGCTGTGGCCGTCTCCAAGTTTAGGTCCTCCACCACCTCCCTCACCCATGGTGTCCCACAAGGTTCTGTGCTGGGGCCTCTGCTCTTCCTCCTCTACCTGCTTCCTCTTCAGCACATCCTGAGCTCCTTTAAAGGAATCTCCTACCATTCCTTTAAACATCATTAAACAAAGGATTGTATGTCATAATGCAAAACATTATGATGTGATGAGATGCACAAAAATGCATCTGTCATGTTCTGTGTCCCTTTGTTCCCCAGCTCCTCCAGTTCCCACTCCAGGTTCTCCTTTTGTGTTCTCTTAGCGCCCTCATGTGTCCGTTGTCTGCATCTCTGTTGTGTGTCTTAAGTTTTACCTCTAGCCCTCTGTAGACTTCCCCAGGTGTCCTTCTAATCACTCTCCATTCCTAATCATTCTTTATTTAGTCCTCCTCATCCGTCTGGTTATTAGTTGTTTGTTTTTGGCCCTCAGGCTTTAGGTTTAGTTTTGTGTTAATGTTTATCTGCCCTCTGGTCAAGCTCCTTCCCTTCCCATTTTGTTAACTGATTCCACCAGTTTCTCCTCAGCTCACACTCCTCACACCTGTCACCTGTTTCCCTGACTACCTCCCTCCTGTTTATAAGCCTTGTCTTGTCACTCTGTGTTTGTCGGTCCATTGTTGCTGTCAGTGTGAGTATTCTGTCAGTCTCCAGTTTCCTCGTCTCTAGTTTTACCTGTACTTCTTGTGTCTCAGTTTTGGATCACTAGTTTTTGGTTTTTGAATGTTTTTGGATTTTGGCTCCCCACCCCTTTGGATTTACATGGTTTTTGGTTCATCTTAAAATAAAGGATTTTACTTCACATCATCTCCTGCCTCGTGTCATCCTGGGTTTCTGCAATGTGGTTTCTACCATCCCTCCGAAACGTGACAACATCAAATGACAGTGTAGTAAGTGTTATTCATCATGACAATATAATAGGACGCTTCCGGTTAAAATCTGTAATACATTTATATCATCATATGATACACACCGGTAAAAAGGGCTAAACGCTACGCTACGATAGGAGACGAGATGACATTATGCAACTGAAACGGTCGAGATGGACCAAGTCGTTCCCTCCGGAACGACAGAAAACTCAAATCCAGATTTATGCATCATAAAAGAGATGAGTGGTTCTGTGTGGGTCATAAATGTGACCCCAGCGATCGCTCAAACCCAACATTTTACCAAACTTAAACTGGAAACAAACAACACGGAAACTGTTCTGAACCCACCAACGAGAGGCAGCTGAGCAGGCAGCAGCAGGAGGGAAAGTTAGGCTTAATGTTATTCTGTTTTATAGAGTTTAAAGCTCCTATTAGCAGAGAAACACACATTTTCCTCTAAATGTTTGTGAAGAACGGACTCCACGAGTGCCGTCCTACGGCAGGATTTACAGGATGCAGCCGATGGTAGTTTCTGAAGCAGGCTGAACTCATAAAAACCAGCTTTGGGTCTTTATGGCTTTATTTCCTGCTGCTGGAACGTCGTTCCTGATGAGGACTGAAGCTGTTTCGTCCGTGACTTTGAAGCCGTCCGGAGTTTGGATTTCATTTAAAGCACAAAAATAAAACCTAATCAGCGAGGGAGTGACCTGAAGGAGAAGTCAAACGCCTCCTCCTCCTTTAGGAAACATAAAAAATGCACATTTACGCTTCACCTCCATGATTTATTCACTCCGCGTCGCCGTCTAATATCTGTGTGATGGAGAAGCCAGGGGCATGATGGGAAAAGACTGGATCGATTACAGCGAGCAGCCGACGGATCTGCTGACCTCTCGCACCTTTCCTCTCTCCCATCCTTCCTTCTTATTTCTCCACTCGTCCTTATCGGCACTACCTTCATCTTCCTCCTCCTCCTCTAGCCCCAAAAGCATCACTTCAACTCTGTTGTCATGGCAACCACGCTCTCCCATCCTCCCTCCTCCTCCAGTTGCTACAGTGACACCTCGTGGCCCTCCATTCTCCTCCTCCCATCCCCTCACCTCTGTTCTCCTCTCTGTTTCTGGTTGCCGTGGCGACACCTCCTCCTGTCCTATTGTCATTGAATTGGGCATGAATATTTAACGAGACCAGACGTCCGACATCCTTCCGCATCATCATCTTCGGTTGTTTATCTCTCAAGTCGTCCTCCGTCATCCTTCCCTCCTCTCAATCAGCCACCCCCTCCACCCCATCCTCCGCTTCTTCATTTTCCTCTCATTTCCTCCCTCGTCCTGCAGACTCTTCATCATCTTTCCCTTCACTTTTATCACACTTTCTCCCTCCTGCCTTCTATCCTCTCCTCCATCTTCCCACTTCTGTTTCCACCTGAACCCCCCCCCCCCCCCCCCCAGCTGTGTGTCCTCGTCACATCTTCGTCCTGTTATTGTCTTCCACTCCAGCAGCTTCTCATGCGTTCACTTCTACTCCAGTAGATTATTACAGCCTGTGTGTCAAAGTCTCAGTCGTCTGCAGCTTCTGCAACAAACACTCGCCGGTCTTCTTTAACAGGAACAAGCAGCTCGACAACGTGTCACCGGCGCTCGCTTCCTCCGATCCACCTTATTTAGCTTTAATCTCCGGATGAAACCAAAGCAGTTTGGTTTGAAACACAAAAATATCTGAAAAGACTTCAGCATCATGTTCATCGAGCTGAAATTCACCACAGTGACTTGAAGACGAGTTGAAATTGTGTAAAAGGTCAGAAATTGTTGCACGGAAAGCCGAGCCAGCAGCATTTTCTCAGCTGCCTAAATGTTTTATTGCTGTCATCATGAATTTATTGGTTTTCTACTACTAGTAGCATTCATTATTCATGGTTTCACTCGGTCACACGTTTAATCCCATTCTCAGTTAGAAAAGTTCACGTCCTGCTGAATAATTAACCAACCAACTTGTAAACGGTTAATTTTAGTCTGCATGATGAAAGCAGCATGCTCTCAGCTTCTTATGAATATGACTGCATCACATGACCTTCGGGTGCTTTTTGGCTGATAACTAAAGCTCTTATTGTGAAAGGGTTTCAAAGGAAGGCACTGTCAGAATAAGACAGAATAAGTCTTTTTTTAAAATCTTGTTTAAACCAATGACATTAGTTCGGTCTGGAGGCCTTACATCTCCAGTACGCTCTCGTTTCCATTCATCTGGGTCACCAGTGACACCTTCAGACAGGTGAGATTAACCAGAGGAGATAATCCCACTGCTTTCATCCCTGTTTGTAGCCCAGACGTCAGTTTTCAGTGAAAACAGATTTAAAACTGCTTTTCTGAACTTTAAAACACTCCCGGCGTTCTCTCAGGTGTTTCACTTCCTGAACTGAAATCTTCCATCTTGTTTCTTTATTTTGTAAAATCCCGACGAACCTCCTCTGAACCGACTCTTTCAAGTCCCACAGAAGGAGGCGCCTTTGAAGGTAAAGCCGTCACAACACTGACAGCTGTCGGTTTAAGAAGATAACGGAAGTTCAGAGGTTTGCGACTGAAGCAGACTTGAGACGAGACAAATGAGCGACTCCTGCAGAAACGACGGCTCCTCAAACTTCCTCTGTGGGAGAAACGCTCAGGAAAACCTAAAGAATTCCTTAAACTGCCTCACTGTTGTTGCCGTGGTGACAAACTCATGAAACTCTGTTTGGTGTTTTATGCGCGGCACTGATGCTTCTGGAAACAACCGTCAGTTCTGATGCCATTGGACTCTGGAGAACCCGACACTCAGACCTACTGGTGTGATCGCTGCACCCAAACTGACTAAACTGGTAACCGATCTCCTAATGACGGCATTCCGGTCTGACAGGAGGAGCCGTTAGAAGGACCAGTCACTGAGCCCTGGGCCGTTTGACCTCTCTCTTTCGTTTTTTACACCTTAAAGACAGAAATAAGCCGATTTTACCCACACGGCTGTAAGATCGTGGTACATCTCTAACCGACATTGCCTCCTAAAGGCCGGCCGTCACGCAGACTTACGTTGGTCGCTGAATCGTCAGCCGGCTTCACTCCTTCCTCTTCTAGTAAATCCGGCGCCGTTGGTACCGAAACCGGCAACAGCGGAGAGCGAGCTTTACCAGCCTGACCCAAAGAGGCCGTCTTCACCTGGGGCTTCGGAAGGCTCGCACCTGGAGGAGACAGGAAACCATCGTTCAGGTGAAAAACAGACTCAAAGGTGATCGGCCGCGAGGCGCGGTCTAACGCCTGCGGAGACTAAGTCACAAGATGAAGAGAGCTTAATCAAGAACGTCTAAGAAGAACAAAAATGACTTCAGAACAGAATCAATCATTTCAGAACGCAGGACAGAACAATCAATCATTTCAAAGAAAATTGTCTGAGCATAATCAACAGGAAGGAGACGAGTCCAATCAAGAATCCTTCAGCTGAGTTTAATGTGAGAATTTGGAGGTCAGAATGTAATCCGGCTCGCCAGAGCGAGAGAATACCAAACATCACGTGTGATGGAGGAGAGGACGGCGAATGGCGGGTCATCTCACACAGGAATCAATGATTTTACAGGCAGAATGATAAACAGCATCTTTTATTCCGCACAACAAATAATGAGCTTTAGTGATGAATGTGATGGCAGGATGTGGGAGTGATGCAGGGGAGGAGAGAGGATTAATGCGTCTTTTATACCGTCTACAAACCTTTTTACACAATGATGCTAAAAACTAAATGGACTCTGATTTTACATCGTAGCTCTAAAACACGGAACAGCAAGTTCCCCGTCACGGGTTTTAATTAAAGGGGCATTATGGAAGTCTGACAGCCAAAACATGTATAGAAATAATAAATGTCTTCTTCATACATTCTCCTGCAATGCTCTGGTCCTGTAGAATGAGCCCTGGCATTTTTACTGTGATTGCCTGTTTTTCTGTAAAATCACAGAAAAAGAGAGATGCTCGGGTCGAGCAGGCTGCTTCATGTGCGTTCACGCTCAGGCATCGCCCGTAGCATTTGCTATCCGTAGCTTTAGCAGCAGAGAGAGAGGCAGTGCCACTTTGTCGCTGTTCCTAACGCCTAGTGACAAAGCTAGCTACATTTCTGAGGACCCTTAGCTACTTTCTGTAGAACTTTCTTCTAGATATTTCCTGCAAATTAGCAACAAAATAGCCATTTTCTCTCCGAACCGTTCTTTGGTTTGACGTTGTTTCAGCTGTCATCAAGGATATAAATGTTACAGATACTGTGAACGTTACTAGAGTGTAGCTCACCTAGGATGTCTGACTCCCATGCAGAAGACCGGGTTTGATTCTGGATGTGAACATAGTTTATTTAGAGTTTATTTTTTACATTAATGGTATATATTTTTTTACAGTAAGATGCACAAATTTTTATTTGAGACTCGCTGAACGGCATTGAATTCACAGATAAAAAAGATGTGGGTTCAACTTTCATTTTGGAACAATTTTTCAAGCAAGGGAAGGGAATGATCTGAGCATGCTGGAGGACTGACCCATCATAAACCTTTGTCGGCTGTGCTGAAGAGAAAGATACAGAACCACATTATTTAATTAATTAGCTGTGTGTTCTCCTGTCCTCTGGGCCACACACACACACACACACACACACACACACACACACACACACACACACACACACACACACACACACACGGGACGGTCTCTGCTGTTATTTTCGTTAAGGAGTGTGCACGTACAGCATGCGCTCCTCGTGCACGAGCCTACTATTGAAGCTGCCGTTACACTTTTGGCCTGAGGGGGCAATCACGAGCATAAAAATTCAAAAGTCCGTAAAGTCCCTTTAAGGAAGACCAGGGGCGAATTAAGGACTGAAGAAGATCCGGGGCTTAACACACACGCACGCACACACACACACACACACACACATGCGCACACGTGCACAAAAGCACGCACACATATGACACGCACTAGTCAACATCATATATGTCTTGTACCACATAATTTTTAATCTGAAGCTACATATTAAGCATTTTCAGGGCAGAGTATTGTTCCTGTTAGTGTTTAGTGTGAGATGATAGTAAATATTCCCTTTCTTTCTCCAACAACTTTACCTGATAAGCTAACTTTAGGCAAACCAGCAGCACAACAAATATTTTCAAATAAGACTCACAAACCTGAGTCAACACCAGTCTCATCAAAGCTGGGGTTCTGTCGCGGTACTTTTGGTCTAAAAAATGTCCTTATGTCCATCTTCACTCATGCGTTTCAGGCAGAGACTGCAGAAGCCGGCTGCTGAAGGGCTTCTTCTTCAGTGGTGGAGGCTCAGGCAGAATGTACACAAACTACTGCTAGCTGCTCCCTCTCTGTTGGACTTTGGTACTGCATGTTACTTCCACGTTTGAGATCCGGGGCTTTTCATTAAAGATTCAGGGCTTCAGCCCAAGTAGCCGGGCCTAACGCCGCCCCTGAGGAAGACTAAAACGCAGCATCTGCTTCTGGATTTCAACTCCTTTCAGTAAAAAACAACAAATACTTTAGAGTAACAACAGCTCTCTAAATAAAAGCGAAGGAGAAACTTCCATTTCCACTGTTGCATTGTGGGAGCGAGAGAGTATTAAAGGCCACGTCCAGGTCGCTGATTTCCAAAGGAGCAGAGGAAACGTAACTCACTTCATGCTTTTACGTTCGATAAGCTGCTCTTGGATCAGTTTGGAGTTGTTCCATAAAGCTGGAAAATGTGTTCGGGAATAATCAGGTCAGTTGTCGGCGGGAAAACTTTCCTATTGACGGTCTGGATGTTTGACCTGATAACTGGGCTCACATCGATCGCTCTAAATGACAGGTTTACACTAAACGGGCATCCCAGAGACGCCACTCATCCATCCTGTCTCCGGCTCTTTCCTTTTTAGCATTTATTCAATTATAAAGGAAAACACGCCTAAGTGGATCAATTCCTTCAGAGCAAACGAAGCACGACAACAATCAGCTGCTTCGTCTCCACAAACCAAACTAACGTTTTTAGAGCTGAAGGGAAAAGAAAAACACGTAAAAAAAGCTTTTTTCTTTCATTTCCTCGATTTTCCGAACAGCTTCTTCATGTCCGAAGAGGTCCGGAGGCCTTTTCCTCCCACCCAACCCCCCATCGCCTCCTCTCCTGATCGATAAACATCCATTCTGCTCCGAAACCAACAAAACACCTGGAACAGACCTCCACGAGCCGAACTCGCCTGAGAACAGGAAACAGCTGTTCTAGCCTCCAACATCTGGAATTTAACACTCAAACCTGTTTTTTCCCCTAAATCCGACTCAGAGCTGCATCCCAGATCCAAACAACATCAACAAAATAAAAGTCCGGTAGAAGCATCACCTGGAAACGGTTTCGGTTTAGAGATCCGACACCAGACAAGAGCACAACTGTAAAAAAGCCCAATATCACCTGGACACTTTCCTCAAAACGCACCTTTACAAAAAAAACCCGACCTTTAACCCCACAGACACCTTATGTACATGCAGATGTGGACAAAGCTGTTGGTACCCTTCGGACAATTTTGTTTTTGTGAAGCACCTCGTGATTTTTACCTTGAGAGGCGTCATATAAAATAAAACCCACAGAAGTAACTTGAGTCTGGCAAAAGTCATCCATCCATCCACAAAAGTACGGCAGCGATGCGGGTTCATAAATATGAAGCTTACGCGTGACCCAACAGCGTATTTACTCCCAGCATCGTTCCAGAAGTGCAGCGGCGTGTTTTCATGGCTTTGATCCTGGCAGTGGAGAGGAACAGCATCATTTATGACATCAAACAGCGATTTCCTTCTTCTGGCTTTTGGCAGATTGCACAAACAGACCGTGACCTGGAGTCTCGAGGGATCTTGTGAGTGCCTAGAAGTCTGCGAGGAAACCGTTCTGCACCGCTGATGCTTCCAGCGTGAAACCGGGTTGAGAGGAAAACATCGGACTGTTCTAAAGGGATCTTCTGTGAGCCCTGACCTTGATCCTATTGAGCATCTTTGGAAGGAGCTGAAACACGCCGTCTGGAAAAGGCGCCCTTCAAACCGGAGACAGCTGGAGCAGTTTGCCCATGAGGAGTGGGCCAAAATACCTGCTGAGAGGTGCCGAGGTCTCACTGACGGTTACAGGAGTTGCCTCAAAAGGTTGTGCAGCAAAACGTGATACCATCGTTTTAGTCCAGGCGCGTTCCATGACTTTATTGTTTTAATAAATCCATTGAAGCGTGTTTGAAAAGCAACGTCTGACTTTCTTTGGTTAAATTTCATAGAATGTATTATTGCTTTTGTCAAATTCAAGTTATTTCTGGTGTTCTCCTCCAGCTGAAGGATGGCCGTTTGTGTTGGCGTGACTCCTCGGCACGCGGCTGTCGCACCAGATCCCGAACTGAGCAGCGCTCCGGGTGAAATATTCCGCTGAAAATGATCCTCAGAGACACGGAGGAAAAGCAAAGGTTACACCTCGACAGCAGAGAGAGCCATGAAAGGGAGTTTTACGGCACAACCTCTGGGGTTTGCGTGTGTGTGTGAGTGTGTGTGTGTATGTATGTGTTTGGAGGGGGGGGGGGGGTCGTCTACAGGTGGAGGTGCACAGCTGACAGGGCGGAGCGGAGGTGTGAAATGCCCACCAGGGTTCACATCACAGGCGTCTGTCTCCGTTTCTGGGTCGAAGTCAAACAGGAGAGGTTTACAGCGAATGGAGGTGAAGATGGAAGAGGAGGTGCTATTGATCCTGAGGAGAGTTTGAAGTAAATCCTGTTAAAGATGAAAGACACGGAGTCTCAGAGGGACTGAGACTCACTCTCATCCGACTCTAGTCTCTTTGTTCATCTCACTGACCTATTTTCTGTTTCCGCTGGATTCTGCTCCTGACCGGCAGCAGAGGAGCTGCAGCGGCAGGAAGTGACTTCAAAAAGACGGTATCAACGCAAACAAAAGGTTTCTACGTCTTTTATTATAAAAAGCTAATGTAACTCACATTTATTCACTATTGGAATAACAATCATTGAAAAACATTACATTTATATAATGTTTTTCACACCTACCATGTATATATATATATATGTGTGTGTGTGTGTGTGTGTGTGTGTATATATATATATATATGTGTGTGTGTGTGTGTGTGTGTGTGTATATATATATATATATATATATATATATATATATATAATACAAAAATGATAAAGTAGAT